CCTAATTCCTGCATAAATGTTATCAGAGGGGGCTTAGAATTCTAACCACGTGCATATCTTCGAAACCATTTATTCGTTAACAGTGCCTTTAACAGTTACTGATCGAGATGTCTACCCTCATTCAGCACTACTTGTTGACGAGTTCAAATCCGACCAGTTCATTGATTAATCTGATTGCAAGGCGCGTCAAGTACATGTCATAGAACTTTCTTCTGAGTTCTGTGCATGCATCGTTCTAGAGCTTCGAAGCTTGAAGCAGTACATGTCATAAAACTAAAGCAGGAGAGTACCATCAGGACACAGATAAGACTTCACCTAGCCAACAACTACAACTACAACTAGTGCTAGAGACACTACGATATCATGAACTCTCCGGATATGTTATGTCCGCTTACATGCAAGAGAATCTCAACTCTAAGAAGTTTCGATGGGTTCATTCCACCCACTATTATTTGTTTCATCTACTACATCTTATTCTATCTGCCAAGCATCTACCCATTTCACATCATTGTTAAACATCTGGACTGGCACTGAGCCGATAGTATTCCTTCTATGCGACAGGGCTATGCCGTCATTCCAAGATTTTTTTGCTCGCCGTTGAAAAACTTTATCCGCTGTAGTTGCGGTAAACGATGTGCTAAGGTCCCGAGTGCTTGACTGAAGATGTCGATTGCATCAGTGAGTGCCTCGTCCTCGACAGGTACCATGGTCTGTGACATTTGTTGCACTTTGTGAGCATTGTTCTGATTGTGAGTTGCCCTTATCGTGATGCTGCATAACCACATTCCAGCAAAAGGTTTTCAGCCTTCACTGAGAAACCTTTTCAGCACTTACTCATCGAGCTCATCTTTGCATTTCTCCAACCATAAGAAACTTATCACCACCAGCTCCAATGCTAATGCTCATTGTCGGAAACGAGCATAACTGAAGTCGGTCGAACATCACTTTGGACAGGCGAAGTAAAAAATGCATACACACTTCATTGTTCATACAAGGAGCTCCAACCATTTAACTTCCAGGGGCTTAGGTAAGCACATATCGAGCGGAGTCGGCTTGGCATTCGAATGTGGACCATTTTGCAAGGACTTTCCTTGGAACAAATAAGTCACATTTTCAATTGTTTTAGAGCTCAAATCAGTTACCGTCTAAAGTGAATGATAATATTCTTTGAGAATCTTCAAAGCGCTATCATAATGAGCCATACACTCATTCTTTCGGTTTCGAGCTTGACTGCGAAATATAATACAGTACAAGTTGGCATGCGTATGCGGCCCATTGGTGCTCTGAACTGCTGGTTCCAGGACATCATGGACAGGAACAAAAACCAAGACTGGCGTTTCCAGATGCAGTCTCCTCCACTCAAAATATCAACGTGCTCTCAACTTTCTCGATCAGCTCAACTTTTTCAAACTTTGTGACTGTCTATGCACATTTCTATTCTCAAGCAGTGCGATAACCGGTGCCTTTGTTTCTTTAGCCACTTTTGCTTTGATCTCTAGAGATAAGTCACAAGATATCTGAAACCTTATAGTAATGAAAGTTTTGCAAATAGCAAGAAGGCGAAAAGTAAGGCTTGATGAGGCGAGCAGGAAAATGTCCATTACGAACTATACCAAAACATACGTATTGCTACTGCTGCACCAGTTATAAGCATAGTGAAGAATGAACTTGACTGAGGGTATCGAGTGTTTCGTATTATCATCTACTGAATAACGCTGCTATCACCTCATATTCTTTCGGCTTTGAAGATGGCGGTCGCCACCATTCCACGACCTTGCGAAGAACTTTATCCTCCTTTGCATAGCATGAAACAATGTTAGGTTAAGCTCAAAAACGTTTTTTGAAACAAGTGGTTCAATTTCCTTGACAAAAATCTTTACGCTTGATTGCTCCTTATACTAGCGTTGGTAGCAATCTCTCTGCGATGCTGTGCTTCCATATTTTTTCAAACTTTGGCAGCGAAGATGAAACATGACTGAGGTCTTTATGCCATGTGACCTTTACAATGACTTGACCAGCCGATATACAAGCCAGTACTTATCCTCCCAGGCGAGCTTGCTTTCAAATAGCCGATCCCGGAGAAACAAAACGCTCGATTGGCTCAGGTAGTTGCCGATTTGAGCCGAACCTGTGACCATGCGTGTGTGGTAATGCACTACTTGTACTACACTCTTCTACCGGAAACCTAAGTGCCAGATTCTTGAGATGACATTTCACACTGCAATACGATTAAACACATTTGTCACTCTTTATCTTCTTGTGGCGAAAACCTCATCATGCCATCTTCAATGATCCTATAGGTTTGATGGATGAAAAAAGACTAAGTGGATATAAAGTTGGGCAGCCAAGTGCCATAACAAGTGGTAAAAGGTACAATATGATATGCCACATGTAAAATGGATAGAGTCTGATAAAGGGCCTTAGATGGAGCTTTCACCCTTCTGTTGGTGACGAGAATCGTACCGGCAAAAACACTCATTCGGGAGAAGGACCATGTAATCGTCGAGCGGAGATTTTTGCTTCATCTTCATCTTCACCCTTTTGCTTGTGAAACTGATCGCTTTGACACTCAGGCTTGGAATGAGATATGGTGACTGATTGGCACCGACACTTCTGGAGCCCTTTCCGTTTCACTAGGAGGTCCTTCTAGAGTATACTGCTGTGAACACAAGAATATTCTGTTAGCGACTGAGAAAGATGGTGTTTCGAACCCTCACCTCACGTCGATTACAAGGAAAATTTCAATTGCAATGGATAATGCTCGACCAGACCACGGAGGACGTAATGGAGGTGCTGGGTAGGCTTAGTATAACTACTACACTTCCCACATAATCATCTGACCACAGCCATATGACTGCCACACTTCCAGAAACCCACAGGCCTTCTCTACTGGGAGGAAAATCCGTCAATGTCGACAAGTCAAGTAGATAGTAGATGAATGAATTGCGTCACGTCTCTCTTCATAGTGGAGGACTATCATCAGTGCCCTGCCCGGTTGATGGAGAGCCATTGTGACCAGGAAGGACTACTGTGCAGACCACTGACCTAACTTTTTTGCTGTTCTTATTTTGTGTTCAGCGGACTGAATTTCCTCAAAACTTTTCAGACACCCTGCTAAAAACTCCTGTACAACAACAAACATAGAATATCTTTTGCTTTACTGCGTCAACATTGCTCACAAAAATCACAACCTATATGTTATCAAATTGATAAACTTAATAAATTACTATTCCACTACATCTTCATAATCACAGCGAAGGTGCGCCTCAACTTTTACTCTACTGCTCAGCTACAATAATGGCTTCATTATAATGACAACGTTGAAGCATGCTTAGAACAAATAAATTATTTCAAAATTGTTTTTGAAGTGAATGGTATTATTGATTGATATTGACAAACTCGTGCGCAATCAGCATTCAGAATCGATGCAAACACCGAACAGGAAAAATTGAACTCGAGAATAGGTACATGGTATACTCCTCTTCTTTTCGTTTGAAAAGCACCGAGACCGATTTGAATCGCTTGAACATGTTACTCGTGACTGCTCACGTATCGATCGTATGCATCTTGTGTAGGGTCTTCTTGGACGATCGTTCCATAATTCGTATTAGCTGTGGAGTTTGAAGTGAACGCATCTGTGATCTTGCCATCTCGCGCAACAGGAATTCCCTGAGGGGCTGAAAATAGGGAATCAGCGTGGACTATGTATTGGTGATATCCTCCTGTTGAACATCAAAATAGGGCAGTCAATCGGTTCACAAGGGTGGTGATTTGCGGCAAAACGCTCGGCCCCGTTTCATCTGCCTTGGCTCGAACCCTACTCG